TTATTAATAGATTACAAACCAGCATAGTTTAAGGTATAACATGTAGTGCAATGTTAATACACCCCACATAGTGGGGGGGGGACTTTTCCTCGAAATAGTGCAAAGCGATAACAATATATCAATAACTCAATGTTGCTCAAATGTTAATATCGCACAACACACAAAATAAACACGTAAAGCTCACTTTACTAAGGTATTCCTCATCCACGAATCCCTGGAATTCTTCTTCTTCGGTGTCCGAATTTAGCAGTTGGGCGAATACGTGATCCAACATGCCCGGCTCCGTCTTTTCGAAGTCGTCATTGATCGAGTCAGTGTCGCTGCTGCTGTCTAGCAGTTCAGTAACAATTCCTGCCTTCCTGAAAGCTCGGACCACAGTTGAGACTCGGCGGCTGCTTACCGTAGTTGCCATATATAAGGCGCACCGGATTATAAGGCGCACCGTCAGCTTTTGAGATAATTTGAGTTTTTTAGGTGCGCCTTATAGTGCGGAAAATATGGTAAATCTGTTTTAGACAACAAACAGGGTTTGCTGAAACTTAAAATCAAGTGTCTGCGTGCTGACACTGAGTGCTTTAAATTCACAGATTTAGACAAACTTAATGAGTGATTGAATAATGTTTATCTATCTGTGATGTTTCAAAACATCAGCGGATCTGTTCATGTTGCGTAGGTTGCTACATGTCTAGGGGTGAGTGTTGGCATGGGTGTTGCGATACGATGCTTGTCACGATACTCGGGTCACGATACGGTATTATCACTTTATTGCATTGTAACCATATATTGCAATTTTTTTCCCCTGCTATCAAAATTAAATGCATAGATAAAAAATCAACCTCTGTATATGTTCATCAGATGATATTGATGGTTGAGTTATTTTGGTATCCATGTTGTCTGGGGTTTAAGTGAGTCTATGTCTTCCACTGTGAACGCCTCAACTATAAATAATATGCTGCACCACACAGCAAAAGGGCGCCACAGCGCCATCTGCCAGAGTGGTGGTACAAAGGTAGCCCCTTTTCCCTCAGTTTTAGGTAAAAATAATTTTCGTTTAAAAAAACGATACTAGGAAACAAAAGATCGATATCATATCAGGCAGCCAAAAATCGCGATATATTGCCAAAATGATTTTTTTCCACACCCCTATAAATGTCTGTGGTCCACTTTTTCTGAGAGCTCTGTGGTGCTTATAAACACAGGCTGAGACAAAACCCAGCAGTAGGGATGCACGATATTGGGATTTTGGCCGATATCCGATATGCCGATATTTTAAAACTCATGTAGCCGATAAC